AACCTGGACATCACATCGAGGGCAGAACTTATTCGTCTCCAGAAAGGCAACGATGCATGTTTTACAAACTATACAGAAGAAGACAGACAGATGCTAAAACATTGCTCTCTATCATTATCAGTGTTAATGTGTCATTCATGGAGTGGAATCAGATTTAGGAACAATTACAATGCTGTGTAATACAATAACACTTTTGTTTCCACTGTGAAGCGTGACTGAGGACACAGATACAATCTGAACAACACAGTGCCAGCCTCCAGAGCTACAGCGACATTGAGCCAACATCTCAGACTCAGTATGTGTCACATGCATCACACTATTAATGAGCACACAGATGTTACCTGTGGACTTCCTATAGGGCTGATTTTAAAAAATTAACATTAAGGTGGGCTCACATCCTGCCCACCTCCCTATAACCACAACATATGCAGGAGGTCTCTTTACTGTGCATAACACTGCAAGGTCTTTGCTCGGTTCTCACTGGGGTTGAGATGAACACTGCATACATGCTCTCATGTGGAGAACTTACAAGAGTGCAGGCACTCTACGATGGTTGTGGCATCAATTAAGTAACCAGCGCACAGTGGGCATGTGAGGTGGGGATTCAGATCTGTGATTTTTATCCGGTTGGGCTGCATTTTTTCCATCTGGACAAATCTGCAGAAGAAGCAAATAACAACATATAAATATTATGGCACAGCAGCCTATGTTAATGTGCACAGTGCTTGTTGAGACTATTAGTTCTCTCTCATATGGTGCGTGAGTGGCTGCCACAGAGCTGCTATTAGACAATGTCTGCAGCTCGTCCTTGGGACAGCAGGTTGTGAAACCACAACAAAGAGGGCTGACGGACGACAAACGTAACTGGAATGCCATGTTCTAGCGATAAATAACACGTTTGTGAGCAGGAGCCGTGAAGCAAAATGCAGGGTGAGTGTGGTGGTACACAGCAGCCGAATACTGAATCGCCCCTGTGTGGCCTCATCTTGTGCATCAGCTCTGCTCCTCGATCAGCGGACCAACAAAGAGCGTTTCCATTTCTCCGGAGCTGCGCCGTCCGAGCGAGCACCGCAACCAAACACATCCAGTGGAAACACCAACACTGATGGGGGTGCAGATCCACAGAAAAAACACACTGCTAAAGCAGCCATCTTAAATTCACTGACAGGGCTGTATCAGGAGGAGGCGAACAAGAGGCTCAAAATGTGACACCGTGCACTTTGTGTGCGCCTCAGCAAGCAGCGGCGCGATGTGTCCGATAAAGAGCGATCACCGATGCGTCGTTCCTACCTGATCAGACATACAAGTTTGCCTCTCCTCCCAACGACGATCCAGGTAAATTATTTGGACTTGAACAGAATTTGCAGCAGCGCCAGAAAATGGCTTTTTTCAGCACCGTCAGAGGACTGCCCATTTTGGATCACGTGACATTATTTTGTCGCCTCGTTCACGGGGCACACGGGGTATATCCGCACAATCTCTGCAGGCCCTGCTCACGTTTACCTTGGTTTATCCTGTATGGGCCAAGCAGTGCGTGTATTTTTTTTTATTCACATAAATTTTAATTATCTAGTTTAATAAGTTGCACAATAGTCGGTTTTGCCACGCCCTCTGTTTGTCTGAATCTGACCATAAGTTATTTTGCATTGCTGAGAGGCCCTGCAGGCCTCACGTCCCGGGGCCCAGCTCTAGGGTGGCCGGCAGGGATGTGTGAAATGTAGTCGGAAATTTGCACGCTCCATTTTTATTTAATTTTTTTTTAATCAAATAAAAATATCAGATTCATTTAAAATAGAAAATAAAACTAACGGGCTTTCAACGTTTATAATAAAATGATTTACATTAACAGAGAAAGGTTTTGAAAAGATGTATACCCTAAACAAAAGTTATATCTGATTAAATCACTGTTATTATTCATATAATCATGAAGCCGCACTCAGTTTATTTTTATGAAGGCTATTCTTACAACAATCAAGTAGTTTAAATTAGTTTTACTTTGATAATGTATTAAATCAGTGTTTAAACATTTTATGCCGAGATTAGAAATTTACCTCTTCACGTGACCCTGCTAACAACAAAAGCAGCACCTATTCAGACAGGACAACAAAAATGGATATGATGACTACAATCACTAAAAAGAGTAACAGTATTGTAAAACACTGAGTATTTTTATTAGGTAGCCTACTATGCAGAGATTATCAAAACTTTCACCCCAAACTCAATAAGGCCCACTGCATCATGAGAGATGCCACTAACTCTGCTAACAGACTGTTTGGCAGGTGAATAAAACACAGCTGTGCCTTACTGCGCGCTCTGGGTGACTTATTACACTTGGCACCAGTCTCAAGACTAGTCATCGCTGCTACCTCCTTACTGCTGCTAATTACAGGGCTTATTGTAATATTTTCCTTTCTTCTCTGATTCTAAGATTGTTTTTAGCATACCGGGGGCTCCTTGTTTAATTACCGGGACCCGGAGTATTTGATTTCACTCCAGCATGTGTATGCAGATGTGCATGTGTAGTGGAATAACAATAACGATCTTTGACCTTTTGAGTAAGAGCCCTAGGGACAGCTGGTATTGAGTAATACTGCAAACGTCTAGATTTGTTACCAGTGGAAACATATACATAAAGAGCTTTCTCTGAGGTTCTTATGAAAAAGTCAGACTCAGTCATAACATTGCTGAGGAGGTACATAGAGTACAATACGGTCGGTAATAGCTGGAACATATAGCCTAAATTGTGTAGTCATAAAAGTGAGATGTAAGAAATGCAAGGGTTTCTTTCTGATTAAAGAGGAATTTAAAAAATTGTGCTGGCAGTCCTTGGATTTTGAACAGGTTTCTTGAAAAAATAACTAAAAATTATTTAAACTAAATTATTACAGCTATACATATTAGAGTAGCTGTATATATTTATGAATATTTTTCAAGTAGCGCCTCTGTAATTTCATATCATATTTCCATAAAGCTGGGAGAATCACAAGTGACAGATTTCAAATAGAAATATCCTGACTTTTGGTCTCTTTGGGTTCAGCTTCTAAAACAATGGTACACTTCCCAAAATGCAATTCAAGAGTATCTCTTTGTTAGACTCTGCCTGTCTGGTGAGCACCTGTCTTTCAAACTCTGTGTCCTCTGTTTGTAAAGCAGGTTTTCCTTTATGAATGTCCTCCCCAAGCCCAGGCTGAGACATCATCAGGCTACAGAAGACATCTTACACCTGTAGTAGTACTAACCATAACTAGTAAAATGAGCTTTATAAAATCACTGTATAATCACTTACATATGGTATTTTAAATTTAATTTCTATTTTTATTGCCATCTGTTACACATATGAACAGTGCAATGCAGTAAGCATCCCATAATTATCCTTAAAGTGCCCATGGCATGCTCATTTAGCTATTTCCAGCCATTTAATGTTTAATCTCGGGCACCTTTAGATTAGCTTTAGACCCCCTATAAATCAAAATAGTCTGTAATTATTTCAGAATGATAAAACCAGAGATAATCAATAATGTATCTTCACATCTTATACTTGGGCTACCTTTTATGTGTATATACCATAGCCAATATAGCCTAAACCGTGTCTTTAAGTTTCCAGAATTTAATTAGACCTTTACTAGTCTATTTTTGCAGAGCAAAAGACTAGACTCGCACTTATTTGGTTTTCTTTATTTATGAAATAGTACAGTAATGTAGTATCTCTTCTGAGTGTAAGGGCCAGGGTTAGTTAGCTTTACTCTTTGCCTAGTGGCAAGGTGTAATAAATGTAAAATCAAGGCTTCCCACATTAAGTACAGACAGAATGTTGGGAAAACAAGGCTGAGATTTCTGGTCCAATGTGAGGACTAGGAGCCCCTGTAGTTCTGCTGGTGGCCTGTCTTCGGCGCTGTTGACTGTGAACTATACATCCTATGCTCTGGGTGAAGTGCAACAGCGACGCCATCTTGAGGAGATACCGAACGCAGCGTTGGTTGGCGTTGACTGACAACAATCTCGGGCACATCATGATGGGATTACTCACTTCTAAGCAAAACGGCATCACACTAGTCTAGGGTTGCAGACGTTAAAGGGAAAGGAGAGGAGCTGTTCGGCAAGCACTCACTACTTCGGGTGTTTTTTTTTTGTGTGTGAGAGAGACTGCTATAGCCTGATGGCCGGCTAGCTGCTTTCCGGACGCCACCGCGGCCTGCTCGGGAGGAGGAAGGGTGGTGACGGCGCAAAATGCTATACCGCTGACTCCCAGCAAGACAGTTATCCTACCCTGACGCTCACTGCGAGTTGGACGACAAGCACGATGCACTTATAGGTTTTTTTTTTTTTTTAGAGCGCTCTTATATTTCCAGTTTTTAGTTGTATGTTGAACTACAGTAACTGTTAAGCGCCGTCTTGCGTACCCTGAATTTCCAGCCTGAAACATGGCATCTAATGTTAACTCCACCAGTGCAGCGCCCGTCAGCGCCAGCAAAACCAAGACGAAAAAGAAGCATTTTATAGGACAGAAAGTGAAACTATTCCGTGCAAGCGAGCCCATTCTCAGCGTTTTAATGTGGGGTGTCAACCATACGGTAAATACATTTTAAACGTCTTCCTGTTGTTAGCGTGCGCTTTGTTTATGCTGCTGTTTTGATTTAGCTAGCCTACTAGCTTGTTAGCCAGTTCCCCTCATCTGTCAAGACAGCTCTGATGCTTTCAGTCGCCAGGCAGTTTTTCTTTTTCTTGGATATTCGCCAGGTATTTAGTATTATGCTTGGAGAGGCGTCTGCCGGGTGACTCAACGTTGACCTAACGTTTGCTGTTATCATACAGTCTGCAACAGTAACGTTAGCTAGCCGCGGGTTGCTGCTCTTGAAGCGTGCCTTTCGCAGGCAGCCAACTAGTGTTTGAAATGATAACCGGAAAATTTGCATTTTCGCGGCCGGTCGTGCAGTCTTAAAGTACAGCAGCAGCAATCTGCAGTCATAAATGATTGATGGTTAGGTGTTCGGGAGCCAAGTCGTGAGCTGCGGATGCTGTAGTGCAGGCATGGAGTGGGAGGGGTGTGTCAGGCAGCCGGAGCAGCAGGTTATACTGATTTTTCAGATCCACAGCTGCAGATAGAAGCCTGCCTATTGTTTAAACAAACCTGCTCGGAGCTCTTGTTTGCAGCTGCTATGCTTGGTGCATGCATCCAATGGCTGCAGTTTACTCCCATCACATCATTTCCCTATAAATAGAGCAGAAAATATATCACATTAAATTCTGGCTGAGGTACCCTCTGGCTATGAAAAGCTCAGTGAAGGACAGATTAGACACTCCGTGATGGATGGAGTGGGTTTGCACCAGCAGTTTATTCTTGCCTTATGTGCAATACACCTTTTAGCTGTTATGTCAGACAGCCACTCTTTCACATTTCAAGTGTTGCATGAAAAGCAGCCCCTCCTGTTGTGGTCAAATGACATTTGTGCACAGAATGTGTTAATAATTAGTTATAGCTCAAATGTGTTTTTTTCTCAAACTGCTGATAGTGACAACAACAGATTTGACACAGTGACAGGAAATGCATTTATGTGTCTGTATCAAGCTGTGTTTGTTTCTGTGTGAGACATAAGAGCAAAAAGCACTTGCACACTTGACAGGGTGAATAAAATCCAACCAAGGGATAAATGAAGCAGCTAATGATATGTTTTTCACTGCAGTATTTCCAGTATTCAGCGGTTGAACTTTGGCAGTGAGTGTGTGGGTGCAGCACACAAGCCTGGTGATTTTTAGGTGTGGGCGGGAAGCTGATTCAAGACTTCAAACGGAGTTCTCATCAAAGCTGTTTTCTTCCAGTCAGAAGTTGTATGCATTTTTAATAGTGCTTTAGCTGTGATGCTGGAGGACTTTAATACATTGTCATTTGGTGCTTAGGTGTACTGCACGTGTGTGATACTGATAACCTCTCAGAAATAGAAGCTGTTTTTTTTTTTATGCCATGTCAAGTCAATTGCCCACTCAGATCCACTGGTGTTTATAGCTAAGGGGGAGTTTTATTGTGCTGCCCATCCAGCGTTATTAAATGACACAAGAACATAGTCTGATGATGAACACAGTGTGTTCTAGGGCTCCACATAGAAAGGAAAAAACTTAGTCAGATGGAAATGTGGGACATGGTGGCAGGAAAGATTAGATTCATTCTAGATGCAACTTATGATGTTCTTCCAACTCCTCAAAATCCTAAGGATGGATAGGCGAGGACCCTTGTGTTCAGGTGTAGTATCACTTCTGCACATCCTCTCAGAAGTTTGGCTAGTTATGTGTGAGTTATTTTAAATGTTTGGTGGCTAGAACAGCAGCTGAAATGTTTGCTAGTTCTAGTGACTGGTAACAGTTAGCCTGAATTAACCTGAGTAGATGAAGGGTTGTGTTGGGTGTGTGGGTGCAGGCAAAGAGAAGGTGGTTCTGGAACACACTGTTGAGCCTTCTCAGTGTTGTGGGCCCAACTCAGTGAAACACCAGTTAGTAAGAGGGGGCCCACCTCATGACCCTGTAGACTTGCCTTCGCTCCTACACCCACACAGAATTTGTATTGGTGTTGGTGATAATATAGTTTCCTCACTGTGGTTTTTAGTAGTGTATTCTTCCTTTGTTAGATAATCTTGGTAGAGTGTCAGAAGTTGGACAACTGAGTGGGCTTGGCTCTCAGAGGTGACTGCCATTACAAGCCATTTGGGCCGGCCACTACTTAACCTGAGTAAATACAAAGCAGATGCTGTGTGTCAAGCCACACATCTGCTCTTTGCCTGGTGTGAGGATAGGGTTCAGAGATGCTTTGTGTTAAGGGTAGGTTAGGTCTGGAAAATGGTGTTGCTTGTCGGAGGGCCCTGAAGATTTATGATGGCATGCAGTGTTTCCCACAGTTCACAGGGGGTGTCCAAGCTTTTTTAAATTTAATTTAATTTTTATATATACTATAGTGGGTTACAACTGTGGTGTACATATGACCTGTCCCTCCTGCACTAGCTGGCTCTCCCATAGCAGCAGCATGTTGCTCTCCTACATCTCTTTCTTCCTGACCCCCTCTTGCTGCTTCAGCAGCACTGGTTGAAGCCAGTAAATATTCAAAACAAATCAATTGGATCACTATTCATACTGATCGAACTGATCAGCTTTCACACATTTTTCGATTTTCCCCTGGACTGAGGGGTCAAACATTCAGCATCGGAGTTAAAGAACTAGCATTAACTTTATCCACTTGCAGAGCAGTCCATATACATTCATGCTATATACAGCATGCTGACCTCGACAACAGCTGTATTCTAACATTAGCTTAGCCAGCCTTGCTAGCTTGCTAATAACATGTTAGAAGAGTTGGATCTCCACATTTGACAGCACTGTGTTAAAAATACAGGGGGAAGAGGAGCTGTCCACAGACGGTCTGTCGTCGTGGTTGTCATGTGTTTGTGTGTGTGAGAAATAGAGCGGGGCACGGAGGAACTGAGTGAATACATGTGCTACGCACAGCACTGTACTGAAATAAAATTTAACCTATTTTAAATCAATATATGACGGTCAGTGTTGATATTGTGGTGGGCCGCCACAAAGAAGTCACTGACAGCATGGCCTGGCACCCCCCTCTTTGGGGCCAGATAATGGGTAAACATCATACAACTCGTATACTGAGCTTCTGTACAAATGCTTTCTCATTCTTTGGCACATTTAATTGTGTATTATTTACTGTAATACTTGCCTGTTTGTCCGGGGCAAATAAACTTTTAGGCAAGTGAAATATATATGTGATTGTGATTGTCTATATCCATCTTTCTGTGTTCAAAACAACTGTTGTTTGCTGTCTACTAGCTGTCCATGATGCCTTTGGGTTGTGTCTGTCAAACAGTCAGAATCAATAATAAATAAAATGAAACTGAAAAGGAAAAAGTATGGTGAAGCACCAGTGCCAGAGGGTTATGAAGTGGAACCAAATTACTTTAAAATTGGTCCAACATTTTTGACGGGCCTATAGATTTTCAATTTTGCACTAGTTAGTTTGACTATCAGGCAAGTAAAACATCTCAGTCACTTGCCCAAAGGTCAAGTTTGGGCAGGTGGCTGAAAAAGCTTAATGTCAAGCCCTGTGTTTATAAAGTGACTTTTAGTTAGAAACACCATAACTACATTGTCACGCCTCATAAAGACATACATTTCCGGTTCATTTAGTTATATTTTCACATAGCCAACATTGACCTCCACAGACACTAGAAGCTAACTCTGTGGAAATAAATGTTTTTATTGTTCTTGGGTTTAGGCTGATTTTTATTTTTATTTTTTATCTGGGACCAAAAGACTGGAATCAGCTGGAATCAACTTGTGTGTATGTGTGTGCTAACTGAAAAGATTAAATCACTTTTCCAAAACATAATATTGTTTTGAGTAGCTATTACACTGGTGTAACAGCATCTTGTATTCATTGCATTAAAATGAATATATGATCAGGCATTGACTTGACTTTCGACATGATAAGAACCTGTATTAAAAGTTCAAATAGACTATTTTTCCCAACCCTTTTCAGTTTGTCTGCTGCCTATTATGGGTATCTCCCACAAAAGCTGAATGAAATAACTTATTTTCTGATGCTCTTTGACGTTTCTCTTCTATGGCTGTTTACTTGATACTCTACATGGTTTTTCTGAAGTGCATTAGTGTGAGATTTAGCTCTGGATGTGTTTCAGCAGATAGGATCAGTGTCTTGGGGCTCAGCAGCACTAGTAAGAAAAACTGTTCACCTGTGCTTTGACCCCAAAGTTAATGTTTGCTGATGGCAAACACTTGCAAGAGATTTGATAGAATGTGTACAGGTCACATGAGACTGATAACACAGTTTATATATGTATGTAAATAAATAAATAAATTCCCCACTCGCCCCCCCACTTTGGAGCAGTCTTATTCCTTCCTTCAAAGTTGGGTCCTCTGTTTGACTGGAACAGTTGAGTCTGTTTTAAACATGTTATTCAAACTGCAAATGTTGCTTTGATTTATCATAATTCCTGACTAGCTGTACCATCTGGTGTATATGTCAGGATTTCCTCTCTTCTCCAGGCTCCTGTCTGACCTTCTCTTTCTCACTTCTCTCTCTCAGATTAACGAGCTAAGTAATGTGCCTGTACCAGTAATGCTGATGCCAGATGACTTTAAAGCCTACAGTAAGATCAAAGTGGACAACCACCTATTTAACAAGTAGGTACATCACTGGTTATCCTTTGTCCATGAACCACATGTAAACAATATGACCCAACCATCAGAGATCAGAACACCTGCTGTTGCTCCCAAAATGATTAACAGTTTGTTTGATGTTCTCGTTACATGTGATTATAGCAATATTTGTAATTTCACAATATGGCAATAGAAACATTCCTCGATGCAACTGAAAGTATCTACTAGGATATGGTCATTTAGCTAGTATAACTGCATTCAGGTTTCTGAATTTGAAACTAACATAGTGGGTGCTCCATTGTCAAATTATAGAGCTGTTGTATGGCAGCATTTTTGTTTTCCAATTTCAAATGACAAGGGCAGAAAGGAAAGTGACAGACAAAGAAACTTGCAAAGACAATACTAGTCCAGTTTAAGACTGAGACAGTCCTGGACACATCTCATAGAAACAGTTGGGACACGACTGTGCGCTACACTTTAGTGGAGACTGGCAAACAAACTGGATGCACATATGCAAAACCAACCACTTAGTAAATAAAGCAGGTCATTTTCAATATTAGTAGTACTTTCAGTAGAGCTGTCAAAGTTAACGCGATAAAGACACTCCTGCAAATTCCTTTTATGTCACAAAATATTTTGAAGCATGTACATTCTATAATTATGACCCTTGGCCCGCCCCATAGTTTGGGAAATCAAGAAGCGATGCAGCAGCAGAGATGGGTAAAGAAAAAGGTCTTTTGAATGGCGAGTTAACCTTCAAAGACCTGCAAGATGGTTCTCTTGACAAAACCGAAGTTATTTGCATTTACTGTCAATGTGAATTGAGTCCAAAGACATGCAGTTTAGGTTGACTGGTGACTCTAAATTGCCCCTAGGAGTGAGTGTGTGTGGTTGTCTGTCTCTAAGTGTCAGCCCTGTGATAGACTGGTGACCTGTCCAGGGTGTACCCTGCCTCTCACCCAGTATCAGCTGGGAATGGTTGGATGGACTGCTACTGACACATTGTCACATTCAGTGCCAGTGACAATTTATGCCAAGTTTTTGCACATGCTTAGGTCATGGCTGGCTACTGGAGCCAATCCCGGCCGGCAATTGGGCGAAGCCAATCCATCGCAGGGCTAACACATAGACGGACAACCACACACATGCACATGCACTCCTAGGGGCAATTTAGAGACACCAATCAACCTAAGCTGCATGTCTTTGGACTGTGGGAGGAAGCCGGAGTACCCGGAGAGAACCCACGCAAGCACGGGGAGAACATGCAAACTCCACACAGAAAGGTCCCAACGGTGCTAACCACTGCGCCACCGTGCTGCCCCCTACTTTTATTTTAATAAAGATAAAGCACTTTATTTATTAAAGTGCAATTTTTCTCTTTTTTTTTTTAAATAAATTGTGGCCTTTTTATCCTGGCAGTATTGTACTGTGAGTTTTTGATATCACCTGATCATTAGAATTTATCTGTAAGTTGAGCTACAGGTCATGCCATTAGCTGTTTGTTTTTATGTTGTTGTTTTTTGTTTGTTTTGTGTTTCTTTGCATGAAATCCCACCACTGTACAAAAGCAGAATAGCCTAATATTTGCTATACTCAGAATCCACTGGCCATAATATGAGAGTGGAGAGATTATTGTGCGGTTAACTGCCCCACACAGCAGTTAACTGTGCAGCTTTGCAATTCAGATTGTTCTCGTGGCAAAGTAGCAGCAGCACAGGACTGGAGCAGGGTAGTGTCTTCTCTCGAGCTGAAGGACTGAGAATAGCATCACATAGAGCCAGAGAAATGTGCCCCTTTAGTACTGTATGTAAGAGTGGACAAAATAAGGTGAACACAAATGATTAGGTTGCATGTCATTCATCATGCAACCTGAAGAATACTGTTTGTCTATCATGTCACGTTTAGTGGCACCTTGAGAGTCCTGGTCGTTTTTGTCTGTGCAGCTGCATTTGTTGTGATTTTGAAGACTGTTTCTCTTGACACATCAAATAACAGTGCAGTTTGGTTTGGTCTTCTGTGTCAGCACTTCAAAGTGATAATTTTACAGCTGTTATAGAAGAAATTGTATCCAAGTAAAGTGACACTGATAGAAATGTGTGATCACAAACCACCAGCCAACAATAATAGGAAACTCAAATGTGTGTAATAGCAAATAGCGAAAATGCAAGACACAAGGTAGAAATTTGAGTATTTCTTTATTCTCATTGCAGCCAACTGTCAGGCGAACTTGGCGTTCACCACCTCCGTTGTAGACATTCAGAAGACACAAGTGCCTAATTACGCACAACTCAGTCAGAATGGTCACAGTTATGTCACTAAGACCAGGTTAAAAAATGCCAGCATATATTTTTGCATGCAAGAGCCACATTGCATTGTGAAGGAAAGCAGGGCAGTCCCTGAAACTTGATATTTTGCATTTCAAACTTAAGCTTTGTCATTTTAGTAATAGTTCTGATTTGCTGTTAAGATTTTGTTTTGTGATTGTACATTTCTTAACTTGGCATATGTGTCTATTTCTTCTATCTGCTGCTGGGAATAAAAGATGTTCCTAATAGCCAGTAACAAGCATATGTGTGTATATTTAAGTTCACTGGTTAGATTTGTATGGACTTAGTTCACATGTGATGAAACCTGCTTCATTTTTAAGAAGTTACAATGAAATGTTGATGAAAGTGACTGATGTTGAGGTTTACTTTGCCGTTCACTGTACAGTACTTTATTCTCATCTAACAACCAGACAGCACCTAAACTAGAACAATGCACACAGAGGAGCACATCTGTAGATGTGAGGGTCAACTGTTCATTGTGTTTGTGCAGGATCCAAACAAAAGCAGAAATCAAGCCAGCAGTTAGCACACATTTAATCGTCTTCCTCATTTTCATCAATAAACCTCTGAGCTCCTGTGGCTTGTACTGACTGTGTGACTCTGTCTGTCCCCTGCCAGAGAAAACCTACCTAGTCGCTTTAAGTTCAAAGAGTACTGTCCCATGGTGTTCAGGAACCTGAGGGAGAGATTCTGCATTGATGACCAGGATTACCAGGTGCACCACTTGTAACTAAGATGCAACAAACTTCTAAGATTGCAATGAAATGAAAACTCTGAGAAGCTCTTGGGGCACTTTTTTACTCAAAGTAAGAATGTGCTGGATGTTGTTTCTTTGGCAGAACTCTCTGACCAGGAGTGCCCCACTCAATAGCGACTCGCAGGGTCGCTTCGGCAACCGCTTCTTGTCCAGCTATGACCACCGCTTTGTAATCAAAACCGTGTCCAGTGAGGACATCGCTGAAATGCACAACATCCTAAAGAAATACCACCAGGTAGAGGCTCTGTTAGAACCACACAGAGCTGACGAACTCAAACACCTGAGTATTTTTGGCTCAGTGCCTTTATTTCTGTCACGTGGGCTGAGTATTGGTACCAGAGTACATTTAAAACTCACCCACGTTTGTAGATAATGCAGCACAGCATAAATTATGAGTGTAGGGCAGAGCTGTGTCCAGTTTTGATCACTTTCATATTGTGTATTTGGTTCCTCAGTGCCACACTTCCCATTACACACAGTGCTCTCCTCCACTGATTGTCTCCAGTTTATAGTGGAGTGTCATGGCAACACGCTGCTCCCTCAGTTCCTGGGCATGTACAGGCTAACAGTGGACGGGGTGGAGACCTACATGGTGGTGACCCGCAATGTATTCAGCCATCGCCTGACTGTACACCGCAAATATGACCTGAAGGTGAGATGTGTAGCTTACTGTACATGTGTGATATGTGACTATGGGAATAAAATGTCTTAAGTTAGAGTAGAGGGTAAAAAATATTTATCAGAGCTTTATTGGGATACATCCAGCTCTCATTATATGTGTACCCACTTTAATGATTGAGTTGCAAGCAACGTGCAGTTTGATATGTAGGAGCATATGATGCAAAAATCATTTTTTAAAATGTAAAAAGAAAATGAATGGTTGTGGGGGAAAAAATCAAGACAGGGTAGTAAAACAATGACATTAATAGCTGACAACGATTGGTTTATTATTTGAGTAATTGTGTGTTTGGATAAAACAACTAAGCAGGGTCAGAGCACTGCAAATTTAGATAAAGACTTTTATTACAGTTTCAGTCACTGCTTAATTTATTCCTCAGATACCTTTTTCACTTGGATTTTGCAGGATTATGGGCAGCGCCAACAGTATAAAACCACCGCTGTCACGTTTTACACACCCAATAATTAAGGAAATTCACTGACATTTGCGTCCCCAGTTTGTGAAAAAGCTTGAGTAATCTATCGCTACTGAGGCCATGATGCAGGCTGATGTTGCTGTACCATTGTCACATGTGAAGTCTGTGTTTATAGTATTCACTTGTCAGTGTGTGTTCCTTTATGGTCTTAGTCGTAGTTAAAGATGCACAGGAAGTGGATGGTCTGAATTTTTTGTCTAATTTACCTTTTGTCTTTGTAAGAGGCCCCATCAGTGAACTGGATCAATGAAAGTTCATAATCTTGCAATAACATTTTCTTGACATTACAAGTTTAGATCACTGATAAAGGCCAGATTTGTGCCAAACATTATTGTGAACAGTCTCCCTGCCAGCACTTGTGACCAGACTGCTTGTTTGTTTACTCCCGGCAAACAGCATCATACAGTAGCATGTGCCTCTCCTCTTGCCAGGTATTCTCTGGAGAAAACAACCTTCCCTTTCTAATACTGACAGTTTAAAAAGCTGCTGTCTGCGGTGAAGCAGGTGATATATTAACAAAGCCTCTGATGTTCCTTGAGCTGCATTCAATTAATTCTAATTTTATTCTTATTTTCCCCTGTTTTTAGGGTTCGACAGTCTCCAGGGAAGCCAGTGACAAGGAAAAGGTATGTTTTATTGCTGTGTGCTGACGGCTGCTGACATGATGGGACAAAAATAAATGCCCTTAGCTGACCCCAAAGCCAAACTTGTCAAATGACAGCTAAATTAAGATATTTATAAGTGAGCAGATGTACTCCCAGTAACCTGTGCATGGCTTGATGCTGTCAGTGTGGAAACACTCCACTACTTGTACTGTGCGTTAGTATGTGTAGAAGAGTCAGCCGACAGTTGTCTAGTTGTTACAGTGTGATGTCTGCCTCTCAGCATGACCAGAAACACTGAAGATCCAATGATTTTTGACCTTTATCTCTGTGTATTTGTTATATCATCTGTATTTTCCGCATTACCAAATAAAACTAAGAATCCTAATTTGAGAAAAATGTATTTACACTTTAATTTTATCCTGCTATGGTTTGATACATGACTCCTTGTTGCTGTTCAGGCTAAAGAACTTCCCACATTTAAAGACAATGACTTCTTAAATGAAGGCCACAAGCTGCAGATAGGAGATGACAACAAGAAGTTCTTTTTGGAAAAGCTAAAACGGGACGTAGAGGTGAGGCACATCCACATTCTCACCTAATCTGCTCTAGAACTGAGCAATATAGCATAGTTTTGTCCCACTGAAGTTATTTTTCCTGTAAGTCAAAATCCTGACTATATGTCACTCCAGAGAACATAAACATGGTAAATGTGCCTTCGTAATCAGGACCAAAGTCCAATCTTTTTTACATGTTAAAACTTGAAGAGCCTATGGCATGCTCATTTCCAGCCATTTAATGTTTAATCTTGGGTAACTCTGGCCTCAAGCAGTCAAAACAAACAGGTACTGTGCTCTGGGGGAATCCAGCGTTGAGCTGATCATTCACCACCACAGGGGCTTCACTGGCGGCTGCTTGTAGGTTTGACCTGGTCAGGTAAAACAACGAGTCCCTGTATAGGAACATTCCTGGACATGCAGTAACCCCAGGCCCTGTATTTTTCTCCACATCCTCTGGTTACAGTGCAGCAGCAGGAGGTAAAACATATCCACAAAACTGCACGCAGTCAAAATATTCTGCTTTTACAATGGTACTGGTGGATGTCAGGCAAGCTACCATGAATGCACAACTGCCTGGAGATTATGACCATTCAAGGAAATCCTTAAACTATCACGTAATACTTAATTTTGTTAGGTAAAAAATAGTCTTGCAAGTGAGAGTTTGCGAGACTTGTATAAACCGAGTTACCTCTGCACACACGTACCAGAACATACTTGCACCTCTTTTTTTTTTTTTTTTTAGCTTTAGGTCACATCTAAAATGACAATTCACTGTTGTAACATTGTAGACAATTCAAAAAACAAGGTAAAGCACCATGGGCTCTTTAAGGTCACTGATCTGATTTTTTTCAAGCTTTAGTATAAGAAATTGTTTTTTTTGTTTGTTTTTATGTTAAATTTGTTCTTTTTCTTAGCTTTGTAATCTGTAATATTTTGCCAGCTTCAGACAGTATTTTGTCGTACTGAAGTTCTTGTAAAGCTGCATGCATTTAGATGACATTTGACATTTAGAAATTTGGCTTCTTTTGTTAAATTAATAAAAGGATTGTGCCAAAAACGTGTATGTAAAAAAACTGTCGAAGGCTTAAAAGCATTCTACCACCACTCTGGTGTTGTATAGGCTGTAGTTTTTCAAAAATGTGTACTAGGCCCACTCCTACAGCTGGGTAATCACAGTCTTTCAGTGAATTGACATTGTGAGGTCCCAGTCTGACACACAGTTGTGTTGTCCAGAGCTGTCAGAGTGACAGCTCTGATGCAGTGAGCTGTCACACTTTAAAACCTGTTATTTGATTTTTAAATTTTTTTTAACATTAGTTTAAAGTTTTAAGTGATCATTTGATTATTTAATATGTTAATTTGAATATGTACATTAACTAGATAGTTTGGTATATTGATCATGAAAGAGATCTTTAACACAGTTAGGATATTCATTTTGACTAGACTATAAGACACCACAAGGCTTTAGCCTGACTGTTTTCCTCTGTGTGTTGTGTGTCAGTTCCTGGCCACCCTGAAGATCATGGACTACAGTCTTCTGGTGGGTATCCATGACGTGGAGCGGGCAGAGCAGGAAGAGATGGACGTGGAGGGTGCAGGAGAGGAAGAGGAGTACGAGAATGATGGAGTGGGTGGAGGCACGCTCACCGGCTCCTTCGGCACTCCGCCTGACAGCCCCGGAAACCCTCTTAACTGTGGAGGATTCTTTGGCCCTGGGGAGTTTGACCCCTCTGTGGACGTTTACGCAATCAAGAGCCATGACAGTGAGCATCGTCTCTGACATCCATCTTGACACAGTGAATGGATCTGCAGCTTTTTATGAACCACAGACAAGCTGTTGAGATGGTTGTTTGTTGAGGAACATTTGCATAGTAATGGTTATTCACCTTTTTGTATTGTGGCATTTACCATAAATTCCAGGCGTTTATTAGCACACAGTTCTTAAAAGAGAACTTCATTTCACTGGCGTAACTTATCTCTTGAACAACCAATGGCGAACAGTAGCACAACAGCTGGTGTCACTTTATTTTCAGATTAAACTAAATTGTTATTTTTGTATCAGGTGTGGCGAAGAAGGAGATATACTTCATGGCTATCATCGACATCCTCACGCACTATGACGCAAAGAAAAAAGCTGCACATGCTGCCAAAACTGTGAAGCATGGGGTGAGTTTCAAGACTTGTATGTGATTCATTGATTTATGGTTGCCAGTCATAAATAAATAAATTGTCCAATTAAATAAAAAATCTAGAAATTATGAAAAAACAAATTGTATATAAAGTTATGAAACAATTTAGTATAGTAAAACAACTCAATATTATATACTGCTTTTTTCATATTAACAATTTTATTAGTTTTTTATTTCAAAATGCCTTAATTCAGGTTTTGTTTTAAATTTTTCATAAGGTCAGGTTTTCACCTCTGTCCGCCCCTCACCTCTTAGCCATTGCATGTGGCCTCAGCCTCCCAGCAGGCTAACCAGAGCCAGTTAGCTTTAACAGCCAGAGACTGTTTTGCTCTTGACAAAGTTGTGTCTTTCTCTGAGAACATCTGCAGCATAACAATGCATCTGAGGTAACTCTGAAGTAAATAAGATGCAAAACCAATAGTTGTATTACAGAATCAGAATGAGAATCTTCATTGCCAAGTATGTTAAAACACAAAGAATGACTCCAGGTCAGTGGCCCCCAATGTGCTTTAACAGTGGTGCGGTGGGTAGAGCAGTCGTCTCCCAACCGGAATCGGTTGAGTTGGCACCGCAGATGGCTGCCTCCGTTCTGTACCGGAAGCAAATTCCTTGTGTGTAACATACTTGGCCAATAAAGGTGATTATCCTTATCCTTGTGAGACTGCCCTTGTGTCTGGTTGTCTTGGCGTACAGTGACCTGTAGCACCATCCAGAGGGGAGGAGTCAATCTGTTTGTGTCCAGGGTGTGAGGGGTCTGCAGAAATCTTCTCTGCCCTCCTTTTGACCCATGAGGTGTACAGGTCCTCCATGGAGGGCAGACTGGCACCGATGATTCTTTCTGCAGTCCTGACTGTCCGCTGGAATCTGTTCCTGTCCCGTTTGGTTGCTGAGCCAAACCAGACAGTGATGGAAGAGCAGAGAACAGACTCAATGATTCCTCTGTAGAACTGTATCAGCAGCTCCTGGGGCAGGTTGAAGTTCCTGAGCTGGAGCAGAAACTGTAGCCTCTAGCTGGTTGAATCAAAAAAACTTTAGCATTGTTGATGTTGTAGCTCGGGTTTTCAGCTAATTGTGACATGGGGACCACCATTCTGACATTCTGAAGAATTAACCGGAGAACCACAGCTTTGTGGTGCATAAACTGTATGGGCACTGTTTTATAACTGTCACCTTGGCTTTTCTAAATGTTATATACTGTATTTGCATGTGTCTCATAGTTTTGCCTTTCTTGTTGTTTTTCAGGCGGGGGCTGAGATCTCAACAGTGAACCCAGAGCAGTACTCCAAACGATTCTACGAGTTCATGTCCAACATATTATCATAGACTCATCTCCCCTCGTCCATTTCCCAGTCCAGTGACGCACTTATTTCCCTTCTCCCTCGTCTCTTAGTGTATGTCCATTTCCCCCCTCCTTCAAAATAAAAAAAATTAATAAAAAAAAACTACCAGTATCCTCCCACAGCCAAGACAAGTCTGGCAGGAAGGATCCACCCAGCCTGTTACAGTGTCCTACACAAAGTCATACACCCCACCACCATCTCCCTCACTCCTCCATCCACTGCAAGGAAAACTTGTGACATCTTGATAATCTCCCTGTCCTTTGGTTTATTTTAATTTATGTGCTCCCGTCCTCTTCATGCCAGCACGGAAACTGTCTCACTAATGCCTTGAACAAGTTTGTCAGCTTCAGCAGTTAACAGTCCGTTAGTACAGTCTCTTCAGTTTCTGTTCATGTTGTTGTTCTTATGATTTCTATTAGCCACACACACACACACACACACACTGATGTAAACACACACTCCCACAGATGCAGAATGGCCAGATTGCATGACAAACCTTAAGACAGTGGCCGTCAGGCCTCTAACTTGATAACAAAACAAATAAAATAAAAGTACTGCTGACAAATTGGAATGACGGGATAAACGCATTAATATCTAATGGTGTATTAAGTAAACGAATGCAATATCAAAATGCATGGCTGATGTGTATCTGAGACTCCAGTACCAGTACGTTGAAACATCACACCACTGAAACTTAGCATCTGAGTGTTGACAAACAAAAAAAGAAAAAAATGGGTGTTTTAATGTTCCTTTGCCATATTGTTTTTGAATATTCCTGGAATTTTAACCATGAGTTTGGTGAAGGTTGTTCTAAGAAAAAAGGGGAACTCTGCAGCAAATACTTGTTTTATTACCATAAGGATCATTTTTATATCTTGTTTACATTAATGTAGCAATTTTGTGTTTGTATACAGTATTGTTTTGTTACCAAGCGACATTAGAAAAAGGTTACTTGAAAATGATTCATTGCATATTAAAGGGAGTTTTATCTTGTTTGTATTGTTTGGCTATGGTGTTTTCTTCACTGTTCATCTGCTATTTTGTTTTTGCTGCCATGTCATTCTATGATGTCATGCTGATATTATAATGTGCTGCTAACGAATACCCTTCACAGTGTTTTTAGATTACATTTTTAGTTGCTTTTTAAAACTAGGAATATGAGCAGTACAGAGTACATTGAACAATTAGCTGTCAGGAGCTACTCAGACATACGTAGCTACAGTGAGGAACAGAAGTATTTGAACACCCTGCGATTTTGCAAGTTCTCCCACTTAGAAATCATGGAGGGGTCTGAAATTCACATTGTAGGTGCATTCCCACTCTGAGAGACAGAATTAAGAAAAAAAATTTCAGGAAATCACATTGTATAATTTTTAAAGAATTTATTTGTCTTGCACTGCTGAACATAAGTATTTGAACACCTGAGAAAATCAGTGTTAGTATTTGGTACAGAAACCTTTGTTTACAATTACAGAGGTCAAACGTTTCCTGTAGTTCTTGACCAGATTTGCACACACTGCAACAGGGATTTTGGCCCACTCCTCCACACAGATCTCCTCTAGATCTGTCAGGTTTCAGGGCTGTCGCTGAGCAGCGCGGAGTTTAAGCTCCCTCCAAAGATGTTATATTGGATTGAGGTCTGGAGACTGACTAGGCCACTCCAGAACCTTGATATGCTTCTTACGGAGCCACTCCTTGGTTATCCTGGCTGTGTGCTTTGGGTCGTTGTCATGTTGGAAGAACCAGCCATGACCCATCTTCAGTGCTCTGACTGAGGGAAGGAGGTTGTTGCTTAATGTCGCACAATAAATGGCCCCATTCATCCTCTCCTTAATACAGTGCAGACGTCCTGTCCCCTTCGCAGAAAAGCACCCCCAAAGCATGATGTTACCACCCCCATGCTTCACAGTAGGGATGGTGTTCTTGGGATGCAACTCATCCTTCTTTTTCCTCCAAACACGACGAGTGAAGTTTAGACCAAAAAGTTCTACTTTGGTCTCATCTGACCACATGACTTTCTCCCATGCCTCCTCTGGATCATCCAGATGGTCTTTAGCAAACTTCAGATGGGCCTGAACATGTGATGACTTGAGCAGGGGAACCTTCCGTGCAATGCATGATTTGAAACCATGACGGCGTAGTGTTCTACCGACAGTGACCTTTGAAACTGTGGTCCCAGCCCTCTTCATGTCATTGACCAGCTCCTCCCTTGTAGTTCTGGGCTGATTCCTCACCTTTCTTATCATCAGTGATACCCCACGAGGTGAGATCTTTTTTTAATTCTGTCTCTCAGAGTGGGAATGCACCTACAATGTGAATTTCAGACCCCTCCATGATTTCTAAGTGGGAGAACTTGCAAAATCGCAGGGTGTTCAAATACTTCTGTTCCTCACTGTACATTCAGACCAAAGCCAGTTTAATAAAAGGATTAGTTCATCTTGCTTGCACATTGTGCAAAACTTTAAAAAGTATCATTGGCCTTATCTTGGTGGTGTGTTAATATGCTTTTGGAAAACTAATAAGCATTTGCAATAAACCAAACAACCCTGTGCCAACAAGATGCTGAACTTAGACTGGAGAAAACTTCAAAATTACTGCTTCATGCTTTGCACAGAAGACATGCAGCCTACACTTGACTGGTTTAAGCTGCCATTCCTGGGTGACAACAAATTTAAAATCACTGGCCTGTGTTCAAACAAATTTTATTTTATGCAAGTTATACCTTCTTGCCATCACTTGACTGATTCTTTTTATATACTAAATCCACTTGCCAAGTATGGCATCTTGATGTGTGGCAAACCTGTGGCAGTGAAGTGCAAACTCTCCCAACAATAACATGATTTAAGTTCATTGTTTAATCAAATGTTTATTTAGTGAACAATATCAAACAAAAAGAGAGAGCACAAGCATCGTTTTCTTTTTATACAAAATATCTATGATGGTGAAGTGTTGGGAGAAACAGAAGTCCTAGTCCATCCTGGCCTTCAGGGTTCGTGTGGTGATCTTGTCTTTCTCACTGACATAGAAAAGCAAAAAGACTGTCAATCACTGAAAACATATGCACACTGCCCTTGCAATCCTTGCACTTACATGACATGTACGACGACACCCATGCCAGACACTGCGTCCCTATCAACTGCATTCAACATGGCCTGGGAGATGGTCTCAAACAGGTTCTCTGGTTCCTGCACAAACACAGTCACATTTTTAACTGAAGAATATCTGTGGCCAGGATGACCGGCACCAAGGTTCACCTCATATACTGTACAGGAAGGGTCGTGTATTAACAGCTAGCCTCTTTGGCACAAATGGGATAAACTGAGGGGGCTGTCAGTTGTTGGCTGTGGAAAGACACCTTTTTGGTCTTCTATACCCAACAAGTTAAATCTAAACTCTACATAGCACAGATGGAAGCTACCTGCATTTAAATGTACAACAATGCACAGACCACTGCAAACATGACGTGCAGAATTAGAGGAATGCACAGGTGCACAAAAATAAACATAGTAAATGTAACCAACATAGAACAGTGGCTTCAGACCTTACACTCTACTTACCATGTCTGGCTCCCACAGAGATTCACACATGCCGTACATCTGCTCTGAGCAAGTACCGCTCACAACAAAGTCTTCTGTCACCATGGGGCAGCCGATCAAATCCAGGGAGCAGATGAAGGGCTCAAGAGTTTTGGGATCTAGTCCGGCGATTACAGGCTCAATGTAGTATGGCCCGAACCTAATAACAGGTTTATACATTACCTACATCGTCTTTTACTTCTGTGTCAACACAAATGGACAGCTATAAATTAAGATCATTGTACTCGCCTCCTTTCGTACAGCAGGTTGGACACCATGCTCATGAAGGTCTTGGGCTTGATCTGACGACCCTCCTTCAGCTCATACAGGTTCAGTCTAAATTTAAGCCTCTGGGCTCTATACACAATGCAAAGACACACAGTTAGCATCAGTGTTCACAGAGAAACTACCTATTCATCAGTTCTGATAGAGTTTACATCAGATGTTAGTGCATTTAACAATAGTTTGTTATTATTTTCTGTTGCTCTCAGAGACAAACACTAAGCATAGTAAGAAACTTAGACTCCAGGCTTTTTCTAAACTAGTGTTTTGTCTTTGAAAAATAATTTGGAAAGTTTTTTTATTTAGTCCTTCAAAGGAAACCCATCATTACACCTGGGGGTCAAAGTACCACTTTGGGACTTTTAGGCCTTTTCCACTGCAGGAATCTACCAACCTCTAACATAACGTATATTCCTTGTCCTGGGTTTTGCTTTTGTTTCTACTGCCCTCCACCCACTCTGGAGGCAGGCTCCCAGAGTGAAATTTCAGCACCATTCAGGACAGGGATACACCAATACCGATACCCCAGGTCCAATACCACCCGCCAGTACTCATAACGGTTGTCCAATACTACGCACCAATACATTAACCTCGGGCTGGCTGAACCGGTGGAGAAGTTTCAGTGGTTCGTAGATATTTTAAAGATAAGTGAAGAGAACAAAAGTAAGGCCAACTGTGAGCTGTGATTCTCTGCTCTGCAAGTAGTGTTACATGCATGATGTGTGTGCATATAATCAGGAATGTAACAATTCTGAACCAAAGATATGCATGGTCTGGGGTCACAGTTCCAGCACATAGAACTGCTTATGATCATTTTGAGGCAGAAGTTACTTTGCTGTTGTAGTTGTGGACTATCTAAAAAGCTGCTTCTGATACCGTTTTCTTCACAAACCACCACAACAAAATTGATTGAATTGAGGAGCACAGCTCCATCCCTGTGCAAACAGTGACCAACACTGAAAAATGCAGTGGAAAATTAATGCAGAACAAACCACATCTCCCTTCAAGTTCACAGGAATATGGTTATGTGAAGCTCCAGGTTTCACCTTGTTGAGTCCCTATGGTGGGAAAAACTCACACTGTCTGAACATCAGTGGCCAGTCCAGCTAGCCCAATATACAGCCTATCTCCCATGGGGAAGATCTTCTGGAAGTCTGTGGTCACCATCTGAGCCTGAACACCAAATCTCCGGTCTGCTGCTATCGCCACACAGTTCTTCCCCCTCATGGCCATAACAGCCCCTCCATTATAAGACATAATAGACTGAAGGAAGAGAGAAAGAAGAAGGATGTGTGAGTCACTGCTGAATCAATTAATAGATCAGTGGGTTACAGTCAACAGGTTACTTGGGAAAGGAATAGGCAGATTCACTGATATGAATTCAAAGGCTAAATAATAGAAATTGTACATTAAAGCACTACTATAAGGCATAAAGGGGAGTAACAATAATATAACGGGAACTTTAACAATAGGACTGGGTTGTAAAATAGTAAATATGACTGCAAAATATGAATTGAATAAGCTTGCCCACAAAATATTAATGTTATGATACCATTTTAAACACCTGAGATATATAACAACAGTTACAGTAAAGTCAGTTATAAAGCTAAATGTTCTGAAATTGAATTCTGGAAAGTAAAGTAACCTACTGGGCAGAATACAACATTAGCTCACGTGTAGCTAGGTAAGCTAATTACCTTGATTTCCGGCTATCGACAGATATATTTTATTCTTCTGTATCTTATGTACCCATTATAGTATAATCTATCTAAGGAAATTATGCTAACTTGTAAATTTTAACGTTAAATTAGTTTAGCCATTAAACTGAATACGAGATAGCTTTAAGGAGAATTCTACAGATGTGTATGAGCTAGGTAATTATGTTACCATTGGTTTAGCTCAGTTCTTGTAACTATAAGCCCTAACTAATTTTAAACAACAACCCATACGCATTTGATCTAATGTATGACGTTCTTACCATTGTGACGGTATTGTTGTATATTCCTATTTACTAAACCTTAACAACTCCACTTCTTCTAAGCTCTTATGAACGTCTGTTAGCTTCCCAGAGTGACTACACGATTTAGAAACACAAAAATCAGACTAACTTATTTTTTTACGTCACCGCGTGCACAAAGATAATTGGCTGCATAAACGTCACTTGGTGCAAGGCGTAGCTGTCATTGGAGAACATGACCGGGGCAGGCATAGTTTGGTTGAGGCGTGTTGAAGTGAAATTAAAACGGGAAGGTTTATTTTTTAAAACTGTGCTGTCACGGAGAAGTCGGGTATTGAGGTGGCAGTCATCAGGTTAGATATAACGAATTGCACTGACACAAAGTTGAAAATAAGTCCTGACTTTGTGTTCACAGCTACAAAACGCCACCTATTTACTTAAAAGTGCGTTAATACAAATAGCAAGCGTATACGGACTGAATTTTTCAGTGAACACCAAACAACTTAAACACAGAATTTACAAAGTTCTAATTGTTTTACCTACATATTTTAGTACCACACTGCTTTTGACTAATTTAATTCGACTTCTGTGGATAGGTACCTTGTAATTTAAATTCTCACCATATATCTTGATAAAACGTTTCAAATAATGTAAGGTCTAATTATATTAGGTTTGGTACAGGCAACAAGACAAATCATTAATTTTATTTAAGATGGAACTGTTCCATTGATTATGCTTGTATTTATCTGAACATTTGGGGAGATTTGTGCATGTTTAATCTGAATCACAGCTCTGCAAATATATTTTTATTCCAGCTGCTACTCACAGGAGTATACCAAGTAACAAGCATATATTACAAAAACATTTGAGTTAAAAGTAGGTCCCGTTATTACTGTAAAAACCAAAACAATGCACTGTACGAAGTTCAGATCACATGAACCTTAAAGCTGTATTGGTAAGTAGAACAGATAAGTCCTGGTAGACATTTTGTGTTTGTCTGAAATAAAAATTATTGTAGAACCGGTTTTTCCAAAATAAAATCCATGGGTCAGCCTGGAGCCATCAATGTGTTTTGATCTCATGACAGATTATCACCATACCATCCATCCTTCTACCTCTACAGTAAATAGAAAAATGAAGGAGTGAATTGCATACACTTGACAAATGCTTCTAGTCAGTTTCATACACTCTGTGGTAAAAGTGTTGTGTTTTCATCTCTTCATAAAATTATCCAGGGAGGCTGGCGTCCTTTGAATAGAGTGGATGTTCCTCTTTACTCTATCTTCTAAGGAAGAGGTGGAAGCACTCTCCAACTTCATATTACTGCAAAAGAAAAGGTGAGTGTTATTGAAGCAGGAAATTGAGAGAAAGGAGGACATTATTAACACATTTAAAACAAAACAGGGAAAAGAGACTTACTGGATGAAGCCAGCATGGCGGTCATCCTTGGCATTTTGTTCCCGCTGCTTTTCCTGCTCCTCTTGCCTCTTGTATCTCTTCACATTATTTTCCCTGTCCTCCTCTCTCTGCTTAGCTTCGTTCATCATCTCCCGCCTCTTGCGCTCCAGCTCTTCAGCTGAGAGCTTCCTACATTAGATAGAAAAATGTGATAACTTTACTGAAACTGAGTGTAAGTGGTGATTGAGATGATGCTCTGAGTAACAGAATTATAATTCAAACAATATTTTCTGATTACTTTAAACTAAATGTCACAGTCAAAGAAAAACAACTGCAAAGTGGAAGAATAACTCAAAGTACTTGTGCGTATAGTTGTGAAAAGAATAAGCAGTGAAGTGTTAAGTCTTACTTGGACACAAGGTTCCTCTGTCTCATGTAATGCTCTCTCTGTGGGCTGGACATTCTGGGCTCAACCTTTCTGTTGCTTCTGTGTGAGGAAGAGGGGTGTTTGTTCCTGTAGTCCCTGTGAGGTGATCGGGAGCGGCTTCTCTCACGGTGTGTTGAGTGATTTGAGCGAGCTGAGGACTGATGATGACTGCCAGCAGGGAGCTGAAGAGAAATTTTTGACTGTTAGAACATGTGGGTTCTGGTCTAGTGAGACATTAATCTTAACGTCTTATGTAACATCTCTGCTAATTACTGACCTGTAGGCCATAGTTTAGATGATGATGGGAATGAGACTTGGTGTCTGCTGAAGATTTGTCTCGTGATGAATGTGACCTAAAAATGAACAAAAGACAATAATTAAAACCATCTACTTAAAGCTACTCTACTTCTGAGTGAGACTCAAAACAAGCTCTGACATCATAAGCCATTCCTAACCACTCTTTGCCCCTCCCACCACGTCCTGTTTTCTAGCAGGGATGTATACAACACAAGCTTGGATGTGACAAACTGTACCAAATGTAGCCTCCAGTCTGAAGCTAGCATTAGTGGACTAACGAGTAAATATCACACTTCAGTACGATGCTCTGGTTACTGCTGATATGACACAAAGCACACAAAGTTTGAATTACACCCAAATTAAAATTATATTAATTCAATACAAAGGTGAAATCATGACCATGCTAGGTCCCTATTGTTGTCAAAACAAACACATTAACTTTAGATCCTAACACACTGAGAAAAAAAAAAAACCACATCTGAATCACATTTGAGTCCTTTTGCTGCTTTTAAAGGACACATAATATGCAAAATTCACTTTTAGAGCATTTTCTGACATTCACATGGGTTTCCGGTGTGTGTAGAAACACAAAACATGAGAAAAGAGCAGTCCATGGCTGTTTTGCTTTTTCCGCATTTGTAAAAACCCCTGCTTGAACACACTGTTATTTGTCTCTCTTTACAACAAAATGATACAGCAGTTCATTTCATAGATCCTCCGCCCACTCGGATCCGGTTTTGTGCTACTGGTCTGCCATTGTGATTTTCTCGCTAGAACAGCAGACGAACAGCAACATGGCACAGCTCAGAGGAAAGCATGGATTCTGGTTGCACAAAGTCTCTACCTACTTCCACCCTCAGAGCCAGCAAAGACACAGTGGATATCATATATTTACTGTAGAAATGTTCCTGAAGATATCCCTAAAATGTTGCATGTTATGTGCCAACGCTAATCATTTCACATTGGAGTTCTTTCTTAATGAAGGTCAGTACAGCGCTGGGTTTATTTCCAGACTGATGCTGAAGAGTGGATCTATTCCAACTGTACATGAGTCTACCTCACATCCTCACACTGTAAGTGTTGCTGTTTCAAAGTTATTTTACTGTGTGTGTATGATCTTAGCCTGTTTAACCTAGCAACATTACCCACAATGTAATGCTGCGCAGCTAGTACAATGAGGAGACAAACATTCTGTCATATTTTCACTTGATTTATCAGACAATGTATAAAATCTTAGATAATGCACCTTTAACTGACTGAATAATATGTGCTTAAACGGTGGTAACAGTATGAACGTCATTATAGAAAACATGGTATTTTTCCATTAGATATCATGTGCTTTGCTGGTGGAACACACATAAACCATATATGTATAATGATTTCTTTTGCAGTCTCCCTACATACCTGTGTTTTTTCTCATCTTCCTCATCTGAACTCAAACTCTTTCTTTTATGCTTCTCCTTTCTCTTCTCTTTGTCTCCTTTTTTCTCCTTTTTGTCCTTCTTCCTCTTCTTTTTCTTGTCTTTCTTTTCGAGGTTCTGGCGCAGCTATGAGAGAACCAACCAAAATTCTGCCACATTAAAAAAAAAAACTATTTTCTATCTGCATTTAAGGTTAGTAGAAACATCACTGAAAGGTGCTAACAAGGACAATACGTTATTGAGTTGGTTATTTACAGTAAAACTGTTAAAACATCTTAAAAGACCACCAAAATGAAGCCATTGTAAATACCACAGTCATTTTACCATTTCTTTAATTTTCTTCATCTTCACTGGATTAGTCAGGACTTCTCTCTTCTTTTCTTCCTCACGTTTCCTTATAAACACAAAGAAAACATGAGTAGATGAATCACAACTTTTACCAAAACCTATTATTATACTGTAGAAAATATTATAGCAGAAGATATTATAATAGAGACAGGGCATTTTAACCTGATTGCGAACAGGGGATCTTCCCTGATCTTGGCAGCCAGATCAAGACTGGAGGCAGGGGTAGTGGGGCTGAAGATGGAACCAGGCAGGAGGCCGGTCTCAGCTGATGGACCGCTCTCAGGCTCCTCGTACTGATCTGTGATCTGCTTGTCAATGGGACGCCCCATAAGATACTCATCTCTGGACACCTGACCAGCAGGACCCTGGTACATCCAGTCCAGGCGATCATCTTTCTTTCTGTCATTTGTAAAATAGAACATGAGTTACACAATACTCTTTAAAGTAACAAAACTCCTTTCCTGGTAGTATCAAGGAGAACTAACTTGATGGCACCGGTTTCTTCTGCATATTTGGTCATTTCCTCTCGAGCTCGTTCTTGTCTCAGCTCTTTCTGGAGCTCCTCAATCTTCTTGCGTTCAGCCTCATATTTTTGCTCAGCTTTCCAAACACGCTCAATGTTTTTCATAGTCTGGGGATGCCAGCTCTTTTTCAAGTTCTGGCAGAAGACACAGGAATACATTTAGCTGCCCTATCAAACAACACTTGTCACACAGTCAGAACTATGAATGTTGTGAGAAAAAACATTCAGGTATCCTTGATTCTCCATGTCCAGAAGTTTAAAAATATACTGAGCTAATCTACTAGGGCAGATTTTGGTGGTCATGACTGTACACCACTTTAATGTTTCCCTACTTATCGGCAATATTGATATGACGTAATAAAAAAAACACCATCATCCAGGAATCCATAAATCTTCAGGTGTATTCGGTATGTAAACTACCGGTATTTATTTTGAAGCAGAAAATCTTATAAGAAAATTTACATTTGACTCTCACAATTGATGCTCAGTGAGTTGAATTACGCTAAACGTTTGCGTTACTAGTAACAGTACTTATTAAAATATATTAGGATGAAACGTTAAAAATACTTAAATCATTGCTAAACCGAATTACTGTCCGTAACAATTCCCAATAGGTATTAAGTCGTGTTATAACAGATATGCGGATACCAAGAAGCAAACTAACATCTTTAAACACCCACATTCTGAATGGAGTTTGGTTTCAGCAGGCTCTAAACATCAGTTTAAACATCTATCGTAGAGGAGTTGGCTCATACTTACCAGATCGCCGCCCCCCATCTTGAAAATGTGGCGTTTTAGTTCAACAAGAAAAACAAATGAATGAATTCGTCTTTTAACAATAAAAAGATGAACAACGAAAGATTAACACTAGCTAGAAAACGGAGCCACAGCTGGCCACAAAGGCTCGTATGTCTTGGGTTTTTTTGTATTTCCTGTTTTGAGTAATTCACTTTCCGGTTCAAGTTGATGGTGCCTTCATGTCTCCGTCGTACGGCCCGAAATTACAGGCTTGCAGTCAACGATATAAGTGGTTTTGGTCGCAGTTCATAAAGAAGAATATTGTGACAGTTTACTTGTTTTGGTCGCTGTGATTGTAGTTACGCACACTGTATCACGTAAACATTTTATGTTTATCATGAATTTGTTGACGTACTTATAATGCTTTGTGGTTTGTGCATATGTATCCAGTTGGAATTTCCGATTGTTCTGACAGCGCCTAAATCAGGCACAACGACCATGAGTGCAATGTTACTCAAATTTTTCACTTAGCTTTAGCTCAGGTATTTGTTACCATATTATAGTCTAAATGTAAACAACGAATCATCCAGGGTGTGTTATTTGAAATAAGCTATTTCTTCTACTAATACTACTACTACCAATAGTAATACTTCTATTACTACTGTTACAACTTTTAACATCAGTAATAATAATAATAGGTTGTCTGTTGTCTTATTTGAGGCAAATTCAACACAGAAACAATTAGCAATTAGCAGGTCTTCTCTAAATAAAGATTTCACACAAACACAGAGTACATTTTTATTTATAAAGGACAATAATAGATTAAATACAAATTATTACACTAAGATACTTAACTTATTAAACTTATTTTATTACAGTTTCCACAACTAAAACACTTACTACATTAACCAAATAACAAAATGTTGTCCATTTTGTTCTACTGACAATGATAAAATAAAATATCATAAGCCTATCTATAATAACATCAACAAAAAATAACAGTAATAATAATAATAGTCAATACACAATAACTGACTAATGTTTAAGCACTGTCTTCCATTTCTTATTTTCTATACATTAATACAGCAATTGTGAGCCTCCAGTAATGCAAGCTCCCTAATATATAGAAATCTCAGCCTAACGTCTGTGATGTTTACATACATTCTAATAGTGTTTTAAAGCTGCTCACACTGCTTGCTACACAACTATTGATCATACCATTCTGATTATGAAACTTAACTACCCAAAACACAAAACCTACAGTTCTGTCAAGAGAGTTACTGAAATATTTCATTTACTACACTGCTGCTAACAATCCTAATTCTCCTCAGAAGAAGTCAAACATTTGCCATGTTTCCTTAAATGGTTTGTCAGTGTTGAAAGGTGGAAAACTTCATCTTTGGGAAGACCAACAGTTGTTAATAAAATGTGTTGACAAATAAGCTCTTCACACGTACTTTGTCGATGATTGAGACTATAGCTTGATATGACATCCAAATGGTTATGGAGTTGATGATATTTGAACAAACTGATTAAGAAGGTGGATAGATTGGTAGGGCAACTGTTTGTGTCCACAGAATCCTGAACCTTTTGAGGCATGAATGAAGGCCAGCTCCTTTAAGGATTTCTGTTTTATATTTGTAATACAAAAAGTGATATTTAATACCTTAGTCCACTTGGGGGCAGTGGAACAGCTTGTAAACACAACATTGACATGTTATAACTGTATGAATCTATAACAATAAATGTGTTAGCAAACAGTTGCCTAATAGCCCATCCAGTAGAAACAGAACAACATTAGCATTAATTTGAATTCATGTTTATGGCCACCTGACAAATGTAATATTTGCTTGTAGTTTGGTTTACTCTTCACCAGATATTGACCAAACATTCAACTCTTTATCTATTACATTCTGCAATATGTTCCAGCTGGTCACTGAATTTGTGTGGCTTCTGTTTGGTGCTGGCTAATTAACCTACAGTGTCCTCATCAGAACTTTTGTGAGCCAGAAAACCAAAACAATTTAAACCAAAACAACATTAAAACACTATGTACAACTGAGGGAACTGCAGAGTGGGATGATAATTATCTGTTAGTTTGTCACTATCACAAGATACTTTGTTTTTATAAACATATTGATTAGTGCAGCTTTATATCTTGGCACCACAGGCCAGTGGATTAAGGCCACTACCTTCCTCATGATGTAATGAAGTGCTGCTTTGTGCTGGAAGTTTCATTCAACACCAGCAGCTTGTTGTGTTGACAGGGTGGATCTGTGAAGTCCTGTTTACACCAGACATGGCTGCTGTCATCAGCATGTCCCAACAGAAACCAGGATTCATTTAGCCAGGCAGCATTGTCTCTCCGTGTCCAACTTCATCTTCTCGTTCTTACCTGAAAGGAGTGGATGAGCTGTCGTCAGCTTCTGTGCCTACTTTTCTTTTTTTGGGGTGCAGTTTGGTGTGACTTGTGAGTTTACTATTTTTATATCATGGTCACCCTTTGTGACTTTCTTTGCATTGTTACTGTATGTTCCATCTGGTAACCTGAACACACATTCACTTTCTCCCACTGTATGATCATTATCCTTAATAAGT